AAGAGTTCCCTGGAAATAAAATAACATGCTTAACCCTTTCACTGCTATGGACGCATATATGCGTCCAACGTAGGCAACTCTGTGGTGCTATGGACGCACATATGCGTCTTTTCATTTTAAAAATCATTTTGAGAATTTTGAGAAACCATTTTGAGAAACCCTGGCTAAGAGATATACAATTAGCAATAACTTGGTAAGTTTTGTTCCAATTTTTTTTTTTTTAATTTTTTCAGATTCAGTGAGTATATATCTATATTTTTAAGGTGGAAATACTAGTTAAATAATTTATGAAATATAGTCAGCACAGAGCAGTTGCATTCGATTTTTATGGTCAGCAGTGAAAGGGTTAATGTAAATTTAATATTTGCGGAGCGGTGTTCAACCTCGACAAAGGTGGGGGCATTAACTTGTTAAAAAGTGAAGTTTAGTAGTCGAGTTAAGTTTTTTACTCGACTAGGTAGTTAGTTATTTTTGTTTTTAACTTATTAACTCATACAGTTAAAGTCTCTGCAACTCTACTAATTACGAACGAAATCAGATGATACCAGAGTTCCTCATCATGCACGCACAAGTATAGAATAATTATAATATGTTTGTCGTGTTACGAGAACGAGGATGTGCATGTACAATAATAATAATCATATAATATTAAGAGTTCCCGGGAAATAAAATAACATGTTTAATGTAAATTTAATATTTGTGGAGCGATGTTCAACCTCGACAAAGGTGGGGGCATTAACTTGTTAAAAAGTGAAGTTTAGTAGTCGAGTTAAGTTTTTTACTCGACTAGGTAGTTAGTTATTTTTGTTTTTAACTTATTAACTCATATAGTTAAAGTCTCTGCAACTCTACTAATTAAGAACGAAATAAGATGATACCAGAGTTCCTCATCATGCACGCACAAGTATAGAATAATTATAATATGTTTGTCGTGATACGAGAACGAGGAAGTGCATGTACAATAATAATAATATAATATTAAGAGTTCCCGGGAAATAAAATAACATGTTTAATGTAAATTTAATATTTGTGGAGCGGTGTTCAACCTCGACAAAGGTGGGGGCATTAACTTGTTAAAAAGTGAAGTTTAGTAGTCGAGTTAAGTTTTTTACTCGACTAGGTAGTTAGTTATTTTTGTTTTTAACTTATCAACTCATTCAGTTTAAATATTTATTGTCGTGACTTAAATTTTTATAGTTAATTATCATTGTTGTGCAGTTGAGTTGATTTTCTTTTCGAGTCATGCGTAATCAACTATAGACGATACTGATTCATCGACTCTTTTTCAGTTTTGGGAATTTATTTTCGAATTATGTATTATAATAATCAATTTTTTACGCAGTGTTAAACGTCTTGTTAAATTTTTGTGTACAACAAAATACTATGGCAGTTTATGACTTTAAAACATTTAATGTTTATTTAAACCTTGAATAAAATTAACTTTTTTTTAACTGTGGTAAGTTAATTTTATTTTCTATCTTAACTTTAAACTTATCTAATTAAATTTTCTTTTTGTTAACTTTTAACTTAACTGAATGTAATTTAATTGAATCAACTTAATTTGCCACGCTTAATTATTTTCATTAACTGGGCCACCTTTGTGTATCTGCCGGTGCCGTTAGCTCCCCGGGTGCAGGATGACCACCTGCTGGATTTTTGGCTACAAATCCTTGCCACACAAACGTGTTTCGATCCTCCCCCTACAAACAAAATAACAGCTAATGGCTGTAGTTGCCGGGCTTAAGCTCAATAAAAAAAAAAATTTAATATTTGTTGAACGGATACGTATGTATTGATCGTCCGGTGGGTTACAAAAAATTACGGATTTACATTTTTATTTTTCCCGGCGTTGTTTTATTCATGATAATGTTACCTAATCATCTATATAAGAGTGTCAGACGCACCACACCGACGTACAATAGTTGTTGCAGGAATATGTGTATACGATATAATATTCATCGTAACGATTATATTAAATTTGTATTTACTCAACTCACTCAACTGCGAAAATGGTCTCTGAGTGTACGTATCGGCCGGTGTCGCTATAGCTCTCGGATGGGTGACCACCCCCTGGATTTTTAGCCACAAATCCTTGCCACACATACAAATGTGTTTCAATCCTCCCCCCCCCTACAAACAAAAAAAACAGCTAATGGCTATAGTTGCCGGGCTTGGGCCCGATAAAAAAAATTTTTATATTTGTTGAACGCATACGACTATGTATTGATCGTCCGGTGGTTTACAAAAAATTACGGATTTACCTAAAATATTGTATTTTACCCCCCATAATATTACCCAATAATCTGTGAGTGTCAGACTTACCACACCGACGTGCAATAGTTGTTGCAGGAATATTTGTATACGATATAATATTTGTGTTTAATACACTCAACTGCGAAAATGGTCTCTGAGTGTACGTATCGGCCGGTGTCGCTAGCTCCCGGATGGGTGACCACCCCCTGGATTTTTAGCCACAAATCCTTGCCACACATACAAATGTGTTTCAATCCTCCCCCCCCTACAAACAAAAAAAACAGCTAATGGCTATAGTTGCCGGGCTTGGGCCCGATAAAAAAAAATTATTATATTTGTTGAACGGATACGCGTATGTATTGATCATCCGGTGCTTTACAAAAAATTACGGATTTACCTAGAATATTGTATTTTAGCCCCCATAATATTACCCAATAATCTGTGAGTGTCAGACTTACCACACCGACGTGCAATAGTTGTTGCAGGAATAGTGTATACAGTATACGATATAATATTCATCGTAACGATTATATTATACACCGACACAATAAAAGCGAAGTGGTGGTTTTTTCGTTTTAAAAAAATATGTATTCAGTTATAATTGACGAGTTTTTAATATGGCTCTTTAAGGGTGTACGTACCTACTTGTAATAATAAAAAATTCATGAAATTCTGATGGTGGAAGTGTATGCAACTGACGTTGAGACGTGCATGACATTTACACCGATACAAAAATTTACATAATATAATATTTTTTATTCTGTTATTGGAACTTACATTACCTACCTATGTATCATTTGTATATATCCCCGCATGAGAATTCGCACATCATTTTTGTCGAGCTTCTTAACATAATATATAGCTTTTTCGTTTTAAATATTCATACTGCAGTCATAACACAAACCATTTGTGAGGTAAAATGAAGTAAAAATAATTTTTAACATTATAAAAACCTACCGTTAAACTTCTTAAAAACGTAAAATGATAATATTGTAGGTACCTACTTGTTTTCCACTATCAGAATTAAAAAAAAAAGGTTAATTCGTATCCTTATAAGCATTATAGTATTATTATAATTACTATTTATGGCCAAACCTAATACTTTTTTTTTTATTTATTTTGGAACAATTTTTTCTTTACAAATGTTCATTTATTTGTATTCCACCATTGCCGATAAGAGGTTATCCCCAATGGTCAGACGGGACATTTAACTGTATATTATGTATATCATACTATACTATTATTATTGTAATTATCTCGTTGGTGAATAAATATTATTATTAAAATTAAAACTATACAACTTAAATTCCAACTGATAAGTCAAACCCATGATTGATATAATGGTAAGTATTGACTTATAAAACAAGATGTTTTTGTTTTTAATTTTATACAAATAAATAATATTATTATTACCTAATTATTTATAATATAATTGAATTATTTCTGATCTACCTGCTGTAACCAGGATTGCAGTTATTTTATTACACAATATCTACAACAGAAATGTATATTTAATGGCAGACGTTAACTACAGCAACAGTATTATACTTTCAAGCATAAACATATTGTTTTAAATGTTGGTCATGAACGTATACAATTTATAAAAGCCTTAAAACAAAACAACTTGTTTAAATCACTTTCCAGTCTTGGTTATAGGTAGAAGAGGCACTTCGAAGGTTTGTGGTATGTTGTATCATATACAAACTGACGTCCGTCACGACCACTCTCTGTTGGTTTAAAAAATTACTCTTTTGATTTATTTTATATGATATTTAACGATTTAAGTACCTATTTACGAACATTAATCCTCTATAATTATAAATAAATATATACTTTTTTTTTTAAATTTAGATTAAATAAAATAATATACATAACTTTCAACAGCTGTATTATAGGTTGTAACAGACGATAACCAGATATCTCTCCCCGGTAAACCTAATTTTGTAGGATATTATAGGTTTGTGCGACAACGGAGGGAAGTAGTGATACCTCACAGAAAGTAGCGAGATTTAATATCACACCGGGTACGTGTGATATTAAACCACTTGTTTAAATCACTTTCCAGTCTTGGTTATAGGTAGAATAGGCACGTTAAAGGTTTGTGGTATGTTGTATCATATAATAATATACGAACTACTGTCCGTCACGACCATTGCCTGTCGGTTTAAAAAATTACTTTTTTGATTTATTTTATATGATATTCAACGATATTTACCTACATTAATTGATTACAATTAAATATATACTATTTTTTAAAATTTAGATTAAATAAATTATGTATAATTTTCAACAGCTGTATCATGTATTTATGTTGTAAACTTGTAACAGACGATCATGATATTAACACACCTCCATATCAGACATCTCTCCCTGGTAAACCTAATTTTGTAGAATATTATAGGTTTGTGCAACAACGGAGGGAAGTAGTGATACCTCACAAAAAGTAGCGAGATTTAATATCACACCGGGTACGTGTGATATTAAACCACTTGTTTAAATCACTTTCCAGTCTTGGTTATAGGTAGAATTGGCACGTTAAAGGTTTGTGGTATGTTGTATCATATAATATATGAACTACTGTCCGTCACGACCATTGTCTGTGGGTTTAAAAAATTTGTTTTTTGATTTATTTTATATGATATTCAACGATATGTACCTACATTAATTGATTACAAATAAATGTATACTATTTTTTAAAATTTAGATTTAATAAATTATGCATAATTTTCGACAGCTATATCATGTATTTATGTTGTAAACCTGTAACGGACGATCATGATATTATTAACACACCTGCATATCAGACATCTCTCCCCGGTAAACCTAATTTTGTGTGTGATAACGGAGCGAAGTAGCTGATAATATGACATCACACAGGTGGTAGGTACGTACCTGTCGATGGATATGGCCATCAGGGTGAACACGCTGGCGCATATGGACAGCACGGCCACGAACTGGCTGATCTTGCAATAGGCCGTGCCGAACGTCCAGTTGCTGGTCAGCATGTAACTAAAGTTTACGGACACGTTGAGAGTGGACACCATGGCGTCCGCGATGGACAGGTTCACCAGGAAGTAGTTGGTCACGTTCCGCATCCGCTTGTTGGTCATGACGATCCATATGACGATCAGGTTGCCGCCCGTGGCCACCATGATCATGGGCACGAACAGCACCGTCCATGCCAGCTGGTGCCACCACGGCAGCTCGAACTGGTTGCTGTCCGGCCACGCCGCGCCGTCGGTTCCGTTGCTGGTCGAATTGGGCCCGCCGAAATCCGATCCGTTCATGGCCCGCTCCGGAGAACCTTTAAGGTGCACAAGCGAAATAAAATAATAATTATATTTTCGTCATCATATACAACGCCATTTTGAATCTATCTAAAACCTCTACGACTCCACACGAGCCAAAAGAAAAAATAGCAGTAAGTACATAAGTAATATAATATAGACAAGGCCGTGTCTGGGGGGGGCACCCCCAACCCCCCCAAAATGTCTTCAATATGTCTCATATTTAACCAAATATCAAAACCTAAATTCAATAAAATTACAATATACATGCTTTGGACCTTCATCTCCCCCCCAAAAAAAATTCCGGATACGGCCTTCCGTGCATGATTTGGTGATCAGTATTTAATAATTAGTATAGACAGTGTCTAATAGGAGGTAGGCGTCTATTATACCTACTTCATAATGCATAATATTTTGGGTTTTTTAATGAAATCGTTGAATTCATTTCGATATCACTGACGAAAATACGCGTCATCATTTCAATTTCTTTTAAACTCATACTAATACGTAATGACGTATACATACACTTCATTATTTATATACTATTATATCTCATTTTTAGTTGTTATGCACTTATGCTAATCGTAACACTTTGGTTACGAAGTACAATGTTCTTCCAAAATGTTAATTTTTTTAGTAAAAATATTATTTATAAACTCAAACATTCGATAACATATATGTATATGGATAAAAGGTACAGTTTAATACACTTTAAATTACTATTATTATTTGTGTATTGTGGTGTGCATTTTTGTGGAAATGGAAAAATATCATCATAATGTCTGATACGTGTTTTATCGCGACGGTAACACAGATCATATACTCTGTTTGACCACAACACAAATTATCGTCTACTTATTTGTATCGTCTAAGAAAAAAGGAAAAATCCACTGCACTGAATATATTATCCAAGTATATTGGAATTTAACATTTTGTCATACAAGACCTATAGAACTAAGACGATTTAAAAACACGAGTACAATCCAATAACAATAAAGTAAACAACTATACTGGTCCATGGACTAATGTCATAAGAAATTCCCAATTCGATTCAAATGTATCCTTAAACTATAATAGTAACTACATAGATACTAAAATCTCTATGAACGTAAGTGTTGGTGAATTTAACTAATCAATTGCACGACTGAACGTATGAGCGAATAACATTTTCGGGGTTTTTAATATTATTATATTCATCCCTTCGACGTGCCTCAATCCCTCGACGAAAAACCATAGATACTCTGATAGCACCTTCTTCACACATAAACCTAATATTATTTTTAATATATAAAACAAACCACTAAAATATGATTTCAGCTAATCACCCCTTCACCACGGTTCAGCACAATTATAGCCTATGATTTAAAATATCGTAGTCATCGAAAGTTATCTCCCATGTTCTAGTAATATAATAATCATTGTAATATTATAACTGCAGGACAGGTGGAAGTCGTAATTTTTTACGTTAACCGACGAACGAGAAAAAATATAAAACCGACCATATAAAATAGTGACTGGAAGAGCCATATATTATAATAATATTATAGTGTCGACAGCGTTTGCAGATGACGGAAAAACGTCATTTCTATTGAGTATACAAAAGTTGCGAATAATGCATAATTTACAATATACCTGCCTATATATTTATAGTTTATACGATCCTAAAATCTATGAACGCCCTTGTTGGTGAAGTTCACTAAAAAATTCTATGACTGGATGTATTGAGCGAACAAAATGTTCGGAGTTTTAATATTATTATATCCATCCCTTCGACGTCTCGACGACAGACATTACTCCGATAGCACCTTTTTCGCACATAAACATAATATTATTTTTAATATAGAAAACAAACCATTAAATGTTTTCTGCTACTCATCCCTTAATCAAGGTTACGCAAAATTATAGCCCATGATCTAAAATATCCTAGTCATCGGAAGTTATCTCCCATGTTCTAATAATCATCGTAATAATATTATAACCGGACAGGTGGAAGTCCTAATTTTTACGTTAACCGACAAACGAGAACAAATATAAAATCGGCCATGTAAAAAAGTGCCTGGAAGAGCCATATATTATAATAATATTATAGTGTCGACAGCGTTTGCAGATGACGGAAAACGTCATTTCTATTGAGTATACAAAAGTTGCGAATAATGCATAATTTACAATATACCTACCTATATTTATAGTTTATACGATCCTAAAATCTATGAACGACATTGTTGGTGAAGTTCACTAAAAAATTCTATGACTGGATGTATTGAGCGAACAAAATGTTCGGAGTTTTTAATATTATTATATTCATCCCTTCGACGTGTCTCAATCCCTCGACGAAAAACCATAGATACTCTGATAGCACCTTCTTCACACATAAACATTATATTATTTTTAATATAGAAAACAAACCATTAAATGTTTTCTGCTACTCATCCCTTCATCAAGGTTACGCAAAATTACAGCCCATGCCCTAAAATATCCTAGTTATCGGAAGTTATCTCCCATGTTCTAATAGTCATCGTAATAATATTATAACCGGACTGGTGGAAGTCCTAATTTTTACGTTAACCGACGAACAAATTTAAAATATAAAATCGGCCATGTAAAATAGTGCCTGGAAGAGCCATATATTATAATAATATTATAGTATCGACAGCGTTTGCAGATGACGGAAAACGTCATTTCTATTGAGTATACAAAAGTTGCGAATAATGCATAATTTACAATATACCTACCTATATTTATAGTTTATACGATCCTAAAATCTTGACGCGGACACGATGATTGCTTCAAGGTTGATCGTGGTCCGGTCGAAGTGTTTGGTTAGGATTGAGGTGATGAAATAAACACAACACAAACACTTTAAGAATGTCACAAATTATGTATTATAATATTGCGACCAAAATATAACAATACATGACGTGCCGCTCGGGCAGATGAGTTTAACGTCGGACGATATGTTATCGGTCCGACGGTCCGATGGTGGATCTCGAATCGCCTTTTCCGCCGACCGTTGTACGTCTTACGCGACACAGTCCCCCCGTCCCACCTTGCCGTTACCGGCTCGGTGGGAGAGTCAACCCGGTCGCGCTGCTTGCATCCCGTGGTGGTGGTTGGAGATAAGATAGACTGGTCGCTATAGTGCTTGTACATTGTACTTGCTACTAGCGCGGGCCGCGTCATACTCCCCCCCCCAAACCACCATACGGGGTGCCACAGCGTACTGTTGTCGGTGGATAAGTGGTTCAGCTCGCGGTACCCCTTGCCATGTGACTTGAAGTAAGCTTGCCTTGCTGACACCCTCCTAGTCCCTCTCTGGTAGGTGGTGTTGGTTGTTGACCTCGTTGTCGTTGGTATGGCTGCGACGTGACGTTGGTTATCCATGTGGCACTGCTCTGTTTGTTGCATGTGCCCGTCTGCCATCCGGACCGTGTTTGTTGGTCCGTGGAGGGGTTTGCCGTATTTACAGGCTATGGGTCGGGTTTACGTACGATTTGGGTCTGTGGATCTAATAGCGCCGTTACGAAGCCTGACGGAAATTCGTGTTCGACCTCGGTGGGTCGGAATTTTGTCCGGGCGTGTTCGTGTGACGTTATTAGACGTATTGCAATCGGTCGAGCGGGGCAACTGGTTCTGAACCGCGACAGAGACTGATTGGTGGTCGGTGTTGACCGCCATGACCAAACTGTCCCTGTCGGTTGTCTCGGTGCTCGCCTGATGCTTTACGTATACAGAATGACCTATAATGCGGGGGTGTGCGAAGTTGGTGTGCTTGCGCCCCCATCACCTTTGCAGGTGAACACCCGTGGCTCTGTTACCTTTGTCCCTACACCTGCGGCTGCCCCATAAGCCGTTGATGTTGACCACACGTGTCACCGGTGAGGTGAGTGTGGTGGGTGGTGGGGTGGTGTAGGTTTGGGATTTAAGAGTGGGTGCCGATAGGTGGTGTGTTGACGGAAAAATTCGTAGTTGGTTTTTCGTCGTTACGAATTACCGAACTACGTGCGCGATGATGGCATAATTTTTCTCCGTCCGTACTACCGAAAATATGGTATGATGGGTGACGAGAGGTGGGTCGTGGGTGGAGATATTATCCGACACGAAGTCAAAACGCCTGCTATGCGTCGAAGCACGCTGAACGTAAATGTTATATGTAGCCGGATATGTGTACCTACGGAAAGTGTCGCGCGTTCGCCGGACGATAACATATACCTACTCCGATTCGGATAGGCCTGTATTAACGTGCGGGGCGCGAGCTGATTTTAAATCAGCACAAATTCCGTAAGTGATTGTGTGGACGTTTTAGTGTCTACGCGCTTGCGTGAGTAACGACTCGGTGTTGGCTAAAAACCGGACAGGGTGCTCGGCCCTTGTTCCGCGTAGAACTCGGTATTAACACCGATCGTACCTGCGCGCGTGCGGCGTATGACGGGTAGCGCGACGCGCTTCCCGTTTGACCAGAGTGGTCGTTGAAAAAGGTCGTTCATTTAAGGTGGCAATGTAACTGAACCCGGCTGGGCGCTGACTACGTTGTACCTACTCGAACGACCTAGCCGACTGGTAACCATCGTGTGTGCGAGTGGTAACGTGTACGGGTGACGGGTGGTTGATAGGCCACGGGATCTCAAAATTGTGTGGCTGCTGTACGCTGTTGGCTGTTCCGTGAAGAACTTCGCCATGCTAGCTTACAGCGCCAGCCAACGTGACTCCAACGTTTTCGTTTCGGTCGATTGGTGTAACGATTACGTCGATATATTTTTTTTTTTTTTTTGATTCCGAGGCGGCTTTGAAAAGTGTGTCGTTCTATACGTGCGCGGTCCCTGCCTGATTTGTGGTCGACTGGAGCTTGGACTGTTGTGTACCGGCTGGCCGTCCGTGGATATTTACATAGCCCTAAAGCTAGCAATGTTGTCCCCGGACGGTGGCCTATACCAATCGCTAGCGTCAGTGTCTTCCAAAATCGGTGGTGTGTGGGTGTACAATGTACATGCGTGAATACGCGA